AAAATATAAAAAAAAATTTGGACTTAAGCCTTTCAAATGTGAATTTTGTAATACGAGATTCACTCAAAAATGCAATATGAAAAGACATTTAGGGACGTGCAAGATAGCGATTGAACATTCCCAAAACTCTTCAAAGGCAGACAAGGTTACGCCTCTTACACGGGGCGATTCAGGGGTTTATATTTTATATTTATATAATTTTTATATCAATATTAAATAAAAGTGTCACAAACTGAAATAAACATATTTCTCCACGAACAATGACTGGCCCTTGAACTGAATGCGAAGTTCTGTTAAAATACAATGAAATTTCTTTCAAGGTTCTATTTGTTTGAAATTGGCAGTTTAAAATGGCACTAAAAACCCAATATAAAATATAAAAAACTTAACTGTCTTGAAATATTTTGTCGGGCGGTACATTTATATTGTATTCACGCGGCTCTTAAAATACAGTCGGGCGGTGATGAGAATCAAGGAATTTATTTTATGTGGCCTAACGATAACAGTCTAACAATTACTTCGGATTGTCAATTTCCTATTCAAGTCGAAAGAGTTCAGTTTGGTTGTTTAACAAATTTATGCTGACTTGTTTTTCTATATTAAGCTTATTATTCACTATAAAAACCAAACGGGCTAGTATAAGAGCCCTCTTAAATTCCAGTTTCCTTTTGATTCACGTAGTCCTTGTGTACTTCATTTAGTTGGCTATATAAGTGATCATCATTTTCGTCCTTCCCAGTGTTTTGGATACCTTTATACGTCGACTGTTCATTTTCCACGTTTTCATAATTCACATCATCTTCAACTTTGTCAGGATTTTCATAAATATCTTTAGAATTATTTCTGTCCTTCCTCTTGTTCTCCGGGTTTGCCTTTGACGATTTGAGTCGACGTATTTGGCAGATGAAATAAGCAAGGGCAACAAATGAAATGGCCAGCAGAACTGCTAATACTATAATTCCAGCAAGATAATTTTCACCATCTTCTGCTCCTGTGTAAAAAGTAAACAACGCGCTAACTTTGAATGTCTGAAAATGCACATCTTGGATCACGTAATCATTCAAGATAACTCATTAGTCGCTGGGTAACCTGAAGTTCAGGCCCTATCACAGAATAGGGCCTGACACAAAACCTATCTAAAGTGTGGGATTCTATGGAGTTAGGAAGGGGACAAAATTCAGGTCAGATATCGTAGGGGCGGTTTATAACATCGAGTGGCGGTACATGCTGTCGATTCACAACGTCGAATGGCGTTTCATGTCTTCGAGTCGAAGGATTATGTCTTCGAGTCGAAGGTTTACAACTTTAACTCGGGTGTCGTGTCTTCGAGTCGAAGTTTTGTGTCTTCGAGTCGAAGTTTTATATCTTCGAGTCGAAGTTTACAACTTTAACTCGCGTGTCGTGTCTTCGAGTCGGAGGTTCTTGTCTTCGAGTCGGACAGCGGTTTCATTTCTTCGCGTTGAACCTTACGGTATAACTATTTTATGGTCAGCGGATCAACTGTCCATTCGACAATACTTCATCTTTTTACAATTTTGCTTTATAAAAATAATATCTAAAAATCATTGAGCTACAGTAAAAAAATCATTGAGCTACAGTAGTAAATTAATACTTTTCTTCATTACGACATGTAATACAAGTATGTCAACAACTATTAGTTCACCGTTGGTTTCTCCTGGCGATAACTTGAAGCAGTTTATCTGCAGAAGTCTTACTGAAGTGGTTAGACTTTTTGAAGGAGTATCATTGAATAATGACCGCACTCAATTTGAACATGCATTATACAAGTTGGAACAAGTCATTCAAATTGGAATTAGCAGTGACGAACAAGGTTTATGGCATCAAGTATTTCCGGAACATTTGCTGGATACACTTATTTATGCATTTAATACATTACTCGAGGAAACCATAAGTTTACATTCAGATTGTTCAACGATGTCAGTGACAAAACCAGCTACTGTTGCTAAAGATTCAGCGGGCAGGCCCGTATTTGAAATAAAAAGGGAAACACTAAAACTTTTTATGAGCTATGACTTCTCCTTAGTTAAGATTGCTGAAATGTTAGGTGTCAGTGCCAAGACAATAAGCCGAAGAATTAAGGAATTTGGTTTAAAAGAAGAGGTCCCCAAATGCACAGATATTACAAATGATGACCTTGATAAATTAGTTTCAGATATTTATGGAGAATTTCCAAATTGTGGTATTCGAAGAATGAAGGGATTTCTAACTGCAAGAGGTATAAATTTGCAATGGGAGCGTGTCAGATCGTCACTATGGAGAATTGACCCCGAGGGCATTATATTGAGATCAATGCAGTTAAATTTAGTTAACCGAAGGCGATACTTTGTACCTGGGCCACTATTCTTGTGGCACTTAGATGGCAACCATAAGTTGATCAGATGGGGATTCGTTATCCACGGGTGTATAGACGGCTACTCGAGGCGGATTATGTTTTTGAAAGCAAGCACCAATAATCTAGCAAACACAGTGTTTAGTCTTTTCATCGAAGCTGTTGATAGGTTTGGTCTTCCACAAAGAGTTCGGGGTGACCAAGGGGTAGAAAATGTCGATGTGGTATGGTTTATGCTATCAAATCCTGCCAGAGGCCCTGATCGTGGTAGTTTTATAGCAGGAAAGAGCTGCCACAATCAGCGTATCGAAAGACTCTGGAGGGACGTCTTTCATGGTTGCACATTCATTTTTTACTATGTCTTCTGGTATCTTGAAGAAAATGGTTATTTGGAAATTGACAATGAATTACACATGTTTTGTTTACATTATGTATTTCTTCCTAGAATAAATCGACATCTAGATCTATTCAGAAATGGCTATGATAATCACCCATTAAGAACTGAATCAAACATGACACCAAATCAGTTATGGGTGTATGGTTTAAACCAAGTTCATAGCGGCCACATTCCAACCTCAGAACCAACAAGTGCCAATATGTATGGTATTGATTTTGAAGGACCGTTGCCATCTCGAGTCTACAATGGTGAAACATTAAATGAAATTTCTGTCTATGTTCCTCCTGTTGCAAGCCCATTGAATGACAGCCAGTTAAACTTACTTCGTTCAGTTGTTGATCCATTAGCATCATCATCATCACATGGACTGGATATATATTTAAACACAGTACAAATCATTCATAATATGCTCCAATCAAGTGTAACCAGTCATCCTTGTGGATAACCTCAAAATAATTAAATTAAACATAAAATACACTTTTACTATTTAACAATTAACTGCCAAAGGTGATGTGATTGCAGCCCATATTCTATAGACTTGTGATTACCAAGCCTGAGGCGAGTATAATTTCAGTATTGAAAAAGTTCTATTTATAAATACAACTAATATACGTGTTTATTTTATGAATATAATTTGCATAAATAATATACTTCCGTCTGATTTTCAGCCAATTTTTTGAAAAACATTAGCTTGCCTCAGCATTATCAGTTAGAGGGAGCCAATCAGAATGCTCAAAGGCCATTTTTCAATACTGAAATTATACTAATTATTGATGATGATATAATCACAATTTGGTTACAATTTCATTACACGCTATCATCAGGTACAGTATATTAGCGAAATGCAGTAGGTTTGCTAACTTAGGAAAATAGCATGTAATCATGCTCATACTAAGTATACTTGACTGTTTGTGAGGCCCCATTAGGGGGGGGGGGTATGGGTATTCCGTATCCCTGTTATTTTTCGTTCAAATATCCCGTATTCCTATAATTATTTAGTATTGTATCCCTATAATGCCAAAATTAAAGAGTACATAGGACATGGACAATATATATATCCCGTATCCCTCTAATATCCCGTATCCCTTTAGTATCCCGTATCCCTCTAATTTTTCCCTTAAATATCCTGTATCCCGATAACCCCTAATGGGGCCTCGTTTGTCATGGAATTATTATAACTCACAACTTTGATAATGTTCACATGACCAGTGATGATGTATTGAAGGCTTCAACAACTTGTAAACTGTAACAATTCATAGGCAAACTAGTTACAAACACTTATAAAAAAGGATCACAACCAAACATACTTGTTAGGAATTAGTATTTGCATTTACTTATTAATGACAATGTGACATTAAGATTTAAGAACTGAATCAAATACTGTTTCACAAAATGCTGTTTGTAAAACGTTAAATGTTTCACTATTACTTAACTTGTGTCTACCTTATATAAACTCCCTATAATTAACTATATTGAAAGTATCAATAATCAATATATGTAATGTTAAAACCCACAAAAAAGAAACAGTGTTTCAAGTTTGACAATAACAGGCTGACATACAGCATATATTAGACAGACTTTTCAACTTCTATATAGAAAGCATGTCTGGGTAATGTACATAACATTTAATTCAATATTGCAAACACAATATCAACCTGTTGTTAAGTTATTATAAATGAAACATTTTTGTTGCACAAGTGAAATACAAAAATATATAATAATCACTACAGCTTGTCATCAAAAAGCAATGGTCTTTTATGTGGGTTTTTACTGTCACAAGTGAAACAATATCAATCAATGCATAAGTTGCATAACATAACATAACATAACGTACTGAAAGGATACTGTATGTGTCGTCCTTGCTATAATCAGACACTCTTAAAGTTTTCTTTTGTATTATATCAGTTATTACTAAAATGTCTTGTCACCTATTTGTAATAAACATTTAAATACTGTGTAATGGTTAAATTGTCATCAACAGTCATTGGTTGCCAATCAAGGGTTAGGAAATCCAACCCTACCGAACTTAAGTGCAATGTTCATTGCTTCAAAAAAACCTTTCTTTGAGCTATGGACTGTGGGAATCCTTAATACCGCTGTACACGATGATGTTGTTGGTAGACTCTTAGTATCGTCATCTGCCAAAAATGCTACCTTCAACCTTTTTGCTAACCCACCAAATGGAACCGCTGTCCATCCAGTCCAGAACTGTAATAGTGCACGTTGTCGGGAATCACCAGGAAACTCTTCATCTTCATCTTCGTTAATATAAGATTTCAACCACTCATATGCTTGACGTTCAGAAAAACTGTGAGTTTCAACTGCAATAATCATTTCCATTATGCCATCTGCAGTAAGTGGTTGAAATTCTCCAGCGGTGAATAAAATTGTGCAGATCTCTTTATTCTTTTGAAGAAGCTTAAGGAGGCTGAGGGATTTTAATCCCTCTGAAAATTCCTGTATTTCATTCTTCCTTGAGACAAGCAATTCGTGCGACACAAGATGCTGTAAAAGGAAATCTTTACTACTCATATTGATCACCTTCTCTTTCGGCCATCGTGACGAATTTATAATCTGCCAAAATGCTTCGCATTTCGAATTTTCCTCTAACAGCTGATGGATATCATCATCGTTTTTGCATGTTTCAAGACAGTTTATGAATTCATGCAATAATGCGGTTGAGGAATCCAGTGGAATATGCTCCTTCGTAATTTTGGATATGGTTTCATCCTCTTCTTCTCCTACTATATAGGAGTAAATATGTGGTGCCAGAAACGGAAAGCCAATCGAACTTCTCTGGAATAATGCATGACTTACAATTACACCAGCAAGCTGAAACAACATACCTTTCGTTTCATCTTTGATTGGTACCATATTTGGCTCAGCACCTTCAAACAATCGAGATTTTACCTCGTTAAGGGCCAATGAGAAAAACTCTATCTTCATAGCGCCACCGTCAAGACCTTCTTCATTTTTGAACGAGACACAAAGTTCTTTTCGGAGGATATCTGGTTTTGTAAGCGATCTCTTATAGAACTTAACAACGTCCATCCATAATGTCTCTCGGTCTACAAGTATACATTCGTCACCAGATAATTCGTTTTTCTCTACAAACGACTCAATTAAATCCTCCAAGGATATATTTTCCTCTTTATCAGGTGTCTGCTTGTCTAGAAGCAGACATGCTGCATCATCAATTGTTATGGCAATTGATGCAATATCTTCTAGATCTTTTTTTTTCAGCGTTGGGAAATGCTATCTCTAATTGTGACAACCAACATTGCTTCGACGTACCAGGTTTATCAGAGTCTGAGACTATCTTCACTTCTGACGTGCTTGGGGTATTCACTGCGGCTATCTTATCTTCTGACGTGCTCGGGGAATTCAAATTTGCAGTATCTTCTATCACGACTTCACCATCATCTTGGTTTAAAATATCTTCAATTTCTTCAGTGTCGCTATTAATGTCTATAGCACCACAGTCTTTAGAATGCTGGCGCAAAGCAAATATTGGAACTTGCTTATTACATGTTGTGCATTCAGTCAATGGACTATCTGGACTGAGTGACACAGGAGCTTTTTCAGCAGACAATGATTCTTTCATTGGACGTATATAAATTGTCGTACTGGCACCCACCATCTCTTTAAGATATGGTACACTGTAGCCATCTGATGGGATTGGAATTAAACACAGAGGTCGTGAATAACCACCACCTTGTGCACGCATCAATTCAAAAGCACCATCTTGTGATTTCAATTTTGGATATTCAGTTTCTAAAACTGACTTCAACTTTGCAAACCCAGCATTCTTGTCAGGAAAAACAATACGTTTTTTCCGAGGCCGGCTTCTTTTATTGCTGACAGGCGTGTTAGAGATGGAGTTCTGCTTTGATTAGTTTCAGCCAAAAGGCAGAAGTCATGTGTCCATGATTTCTTTGGCTGAATGAACACAACTTTCTGCCTTTTAGCTGGTCGAGGGTTATGAAGAGGTAATCGTTGACCTCCACCACCAAGACTGGGAAAGGCTTTGCTAAGAGGAAATAAGATAAAATACATTTCAGTTAACTTTTAACCACAAAACCAAACAAAAGTGCTGCTTTGGTGTTGGTTTTCATATTGGAAAAACCACTGTTATTATATAAAGTATAGTGCTTTATGTACTATTTAAAAAACGAGCAGGAGTGTTTTATTAGGTTTAAAGCCACGAGCGCGCAGCGCGAGTGGCTTTAGACCTAATAAAACACGACCTGCGAGTTTTTTAAATGGCTTCAAAAACGTTTGCATAATAAGTCAAATCTTTATATAAAAATCTTTATATAAAAATCTTATATAAAAATCTTTATTTAAAAATCTTTATATAGTTTGCATAACAATGGTCTTTTGTTAAAGTGTTCTTTAGCTGGTATAAAGACGTATGCACGTGACTAATTTCTTACTCAAGATTGGATGATAATTGCTTCATGATGAGTTTTTGAAAGAGATTTCGAGCACTGATAAAAGTGATAATCTCACATGTGAGATTATTTATGATAATCTCGCATGTGAAAATTATCGCTTTTCTGTAAAAATCATCGCTTTGAAAGATTGTCCTTTATATAATAAACAGGAAAATACATGGGTGCTTAGAAATACCAGATTTATTTCTCGTGTTATCATGTTCAACACTCGAAATAAATCTGGTATTTCTGTGCACCCATGTATTATTCTCTATTTAATAGATGACATCCAAATAGTTATGTCATGAATAATGCCACTTCTAAAACAGTTTCTGGGTCATCGAAAGTTAAGCGCAATGATAGGGGTGGGTCATGTAAAAATATGCAGAAGATTGGGCCTGGAAATTTTTTTGTTAAAATTTCCGGTTTTTTGGGGCTAAGTACTGAAATGGGGGGGGGGGAAGATTCTTGTCCGAAAAAAATTTTTCCGTAAAAAGTTGGAAAAGGGGTGGGTCATTAATTTTTCAGCACCAATTTAAGGGTGGGCTACAGATTTCCATGCACCTATTAAGGGGTGGGCTACCAAAAATGCAGACACCAAATATATGATTTTCCCAGCACACCCCCCCCTTTTTACTTTATGACCGGTCCCTTGCATGAACATAAGAGATAAGGTCTATAAACATTATATATTTGTTAAGTTGTTTTGTGGTCATTTTTAAAACTACCGATGTTTTTTTCAAACTGGTAAATATTTTCAAAGGAATCAAAGCCCCCCCTTCTTTTGTCTTTCTGTATTTTTTCAAAGCCCCCTTTCAGGTTTTAAAAAATTTAAAGCCCCCCCCTCCCAGTTTCTCCTCAAACCCCCCTGTACAATAAATAATGAGCGGAAAAAACCCTGAAAACGTTTACCTAAAATCGCGTTGTACAGCTTGATTAAAAGTTTCTTGTTGACTTTGCGACGGTGTTGAAGCACTTGTTGTGTTTGCTGTCGGGCCTGTTGTGTTCGCTGCAGAGCCTGCAGAAGGGATTTGATTCTGAATATGTTCTATGGCTTCTTTTAATACGGAGACCACATGGTTGACTGGGTTTTCCGCCATTTTGAGCAAGATGACAGGCCACTACTTCATGTTGCAATGAATATTGTAGGTTAAAATTATGAAATACATTATGAAGTACTGCACAGACAGCGAAAAACACCCGCTGACCATGTACCACCGTAAGGTTCAACAATGTGTTCAACGAAGAAATGAAACTGCTGTCCGCAAAATATATATAAACTTGCGACTCGAAGACATAAAACTTCGACTCGAAGACATAAACCTTCGACTCGAAGACATAAACCTTCGACTCGAAGACATAAACCTTCGACTCGAAGACATAAACCTTCGACTCGAAGACATAAACCTTCGACTCGAAGACATAAACCTTCGACTCGAAGACATAATCCTTCGACTCGAAGACATGAAGCGCCATTCGACGTTGTGAATCGACAGCATGTACCGCCACTCGATGTTATAAACCGCCCCTACGATATCTGACCTGAATTTTGTCCCCTTCCTAACTCCATAGGATTCCCGTCCACCTGGTGGACGGGAAATCTGATTGGTTGATCAGCATCATGAAGGATTTTGATTGGTTGCAAGTTCACATAAACAACAGTTTTAAAAATAGCTCGGTCAAGGCGAGAATTAATATAAAGGTCAAACGCACGTAACAAATTCCATTATCGATTTCTTCGAATTTCTTTTCTTTTATGCTTTATGGCACAAAATAAGTCAAACAAACAGTATTTTGAAAGGGCTTCATCAAAATCTTTGACGAATTTGGACACACACGACGCTGAAAGAACAGCCAAACTAGTCATGTATTCGAAAGCTTGTTGTTGAAAGCCAAGATGTTCTGCCAACTTGCTTCGCCGGCAAAAGTCTTATTTTTAATATCAGGTCGATCCTACCGGCGTAATTGTTTTCTGAGCTACATCGCCTTCTTCGTGGTATGATTGAGAATTTAATTGTTGCTGTTATTAGCCCGTTTATAGTCGTTTGAGTATATCCGCGTCCAGCAAGTTGAGACCTTGAGAAAGCTTGGCAATCAAGCCGTGCACAGAACTGACTAACTAAATCTTTGTTTGCTGTTCGCCTGTTCGGTTAAATAGAGAAACCGACTCTTAATTATATAAAAGTACCATGAATTTTTAAGTTTAATTAAAAAGCAAAATGCTCTGCGGACATGTTCATGAGAACATAAATTTTTTGTGTAACGAAATCTACAACACTTGTCAATCATATTGCATGTGTGTCTAAAAATAACATGTGGGCGTCCCACGGTCTAGACAGGTTTTGTGTCAGGCCCTATTTCAAATTAGGGCCTGAACTTCAGGTTAGTCGCTGGGGCACTGTGCCCACAGCGACTCTAGGTTTCGGCACGCATTTTTTTCGCGGATCTCCAATCGCAGATCGCAAATCTCCGTTGTAAACAGCTGGGAAATTTGTTGTCGCTGTGCAGAGAAATTGCTGGCGCACGCGATATTTTACAAAAATTCGAAAATTTGAAAAAACAACACGAGTGAAATTTCAACTGATGATTTTGCATTTTTAAGACGGCGATCAAGGAAATTAAATTGTTGGAAAAACTTCACTAACATCTCAAGTATGGAAAACATCTACATTACCAGAAATTTAATTGTGGATTGATTCAAAATTCAGGCGATAAAGTTACATAGCTAGGAGTTGGCTTTTGTGCTCTTCGAATATCAGTTTTCATTCGCGGATTACCATAACTTGTTGGCCTCATGGGTGCCAAAATCGACATAAACGTAACTGCTAACCAAGAGCTATAAAACAAATAGCTTTTCAAAAAGATAAACTTTATTCAGTCAAAAGGATGAGGGTAAATAAACATGCTACTGCGTGATAGTGATTTCGAAGCAACTTTGTCACATATATTTTAAAAAGTGTGATTATGAATCAAATTTTGCTTTTTACAATCCCAAAAAGGTATGAAAATTATTTAAATATTTAAGGTTTCCGTGTTTATAAAGTATTTTTTTGAGAAAAGTAAAAATTTTCCCGATAAAAGAGCATAGTTTCTGCAGAAAACTGTTTTCTGATAAAGAAGGTCCTGGGGGAGGGGGTGTAGAAGCGTGCGCGGATAGCAAAAAACCTTGACGTTTCCTCCAAAAAAATAATACCAAATTTTGTTTTGCCTTTGTTTGATATGTAATTTAAACAAGTTTTTTTACATCTAAAAATTGCCCCTAGTGGTCAAACCTTGGATTATGTTCGCAGTATTGGCCATTTGTTTACTTTGGGGGATCAAAGTTTGAGGTCCAATTATTTTTAAAGTTTGCAAACTACCCAGCTAATTCTTGGCTGTTGTTTGCAGCCTTGTATCCAGATCCTTTCAATGAAGGGAAATTCAAAATAGTATATTTGATTACTTTTACAGCACAGTCATTACATAGGTAGGGTGCAATACCAGGCCAAACTGCAAAAAAATTTACCGATTCCTCCAAATTTAAAATCATATTTTTTTGCTCCCAAGGCACAAAGGAAACATAATTTAACAATGAATTTTGTTGAAAAATTGCCCCTTTGCGTCTAATTTCGCTTTGAAATGCATGCGTTTACTGCTCTTGTATGAAGCAAGAGTTCGAAAACATTCCGAAGTGCTGTAAAATGTAATGAAATCGACAACTTGACCTTATGGGGCGCCGAACTAGTCAATATTGCAATTGAATATATTTGGTACGTTCGACTTTATGTTTGGCCAACATCTTTTTTCTTTTTGCCATTTTCTGTTTTTCTCTGGGGTTTTTTATTTTTTATATGGCCTATTCAAGTTTTTGTAACCTCACCTACTTTCTATATGCTCAACGCGACTTTTTATATGGTCAAGGTTTTTTTATATGGTCAACGACTTTTTATATGGTCAACGACTTTTTATATGCTCAATGACTTTTTATATGCTCAATGACTTTTTATATGCTCAATGACTTTTTATATGCTCAATGACTTTTTATATGCTCAATGACATTTTCTCCGGTATAAAAAGTCAATAAAAGTTCGATACTTCGATTGTTGCCGCAAACGCAACCAAAGATGGCGGGAAGAAACTTCGAAGATATTTCATCGGCTTGCGAAGTTGCTGCACAAGCACTACAAGCTATTGGCAATTTAAGAAATCCTGATGTTAGAAATTTAGCAGAATCAACTGCTTCAAACAGCAGTGCAAGTAATTCAAATATGTCGACTACTTCTGGTGGAAATATCTCGGCATTTGCAGCCGAGCTCGGACAGAGATTTCCCACATTTAATGCTTGCATTAAGGGCCATTCCATTTAATGTACACCCCCCCCCCCCTACGGATGAGCTTTTCTGAAGGGTGACTCAAAAAGTCGTTTCTGAGGGGTTAAGCCTGTCGGCACCCTTTGATCTCTGACCCGATTTTTCTGAGGGGTAAGGGGAAAATTTACAAATTTCTGAGGGGTGTTTTGTGTCGGCACTTTGATTTTTTTTTCTTAGGGGTTAAAATTTTACTGACCTCATCCGTAGGGGGTGTGTGGATATTAAATGGAATGGCCCTAATAATACACGAGGCAGAGAAAGTCACAATTCTTCTAGTCGCAGTTCTGTTAAAAAGAACTCCAAAAAGCGGAAGTCCAACAATATAAACACTCAAGATGCATCGAGTGGATCTGGGACAAAGATTGGGCGACCTTCGAAGTCTGTTATTCACAAAGATTTAGTTATTATACCGAATCCTGACACCAAACAAGTGCCAAGTCACTCCAACAAAGTCAAGCTGGAAGAAAGAGAGTTGATCATTCACGAATTCCCTTTCAACAAAGGATGGAGTCCTCTAGAACTCCGAGAAAACATTGAAAAATGAGTTCATGAAGGTAAATATGAAATTTTGAGTTCATGAAGGTAAATATGAAATTTAATTAATTAAATTAATTTAATATTAAAAGAAAGAAAGAACAAAGAACTTAATTTAATATTGTTTAAATATAACTTTATACTAAAATTTACTTATTTCAGGCTAGTCGTAGTAAACCTGGAATTATCAAATGTTACAGTTTTAAATAGCTTTATTTTCTTAACAACTTCAACATATTAAAGAAACATTTGTTTTACAAACAATACCCGGAAAGCATGCTTTTTCCAGGAAAAAAACCACGCATCGCGCGGGACTATCACGCGTCCGTATTTTAATAACATATCTAATCTATTCTCGACAATTTGTTAAGCCCCATGAACTTTGCACTATCCTGGCATAGTGCATAACATGGACTGGACTGGAACAGTGACTCGGTGTTTTCACTCCGCAAAAAATAATTTCCTTCCCCATAACCTGAAATTTCCTTTTCACAAAATTTCCTTCCAAAAATCTCTAAATATCCTTCCATTTCCCTTCCAAATTTTTATCAGAATTGACGGATTTATCTTGGTAATTAACACCTAAACTCTAGCATTAAAACATATTTTTCAGGTTAAAATCATCTTTGCCCCAGGTAGACAAAAAGCATGTTATTTCGGCCTTTCGGTGCTACCTTGCCGTGGGTGTGTCTGTGAAGAAGAGGTTCCCTAACTGTTTCTTGCATCTCTCCCCATTAATACAAATCTCACTTCATTAATACACTGATACATATGTACACTACATGCATATGTCAGGTTGTTGACTTTGGCAAAAAGTAAACTACACTGTGTCCCCAACATAGTCCTGAAACAATGATCTGATGCAGTACACGCCTGTACGCTATATTGCTTGTTTGCAATCGACGCCATATCTTGGTTAATTTTTCAAAACACACTAGGAAACCATAAACAATAATTTCTTTTTGCCTCTATTTTGAACTCTCCTTCCCATTGTGAAATTGGCATTTTGAACACTTCATAATATTATCAAATTCTTTCCTTCAATGATGAATTCAACAGTGTCGTGAAATAATAGTTTTCTGCATTTGATTTTTTGAATTCACATTTAGATATAAAAAAGTGCTAAAAGTAAGAAAAGATTTTTTCTCCTGACATAAAGTAGAGTTTTTGCGAGACATGGTGGATGTTCGGGGGAGGGGGGTTTTCTAGTTCGGACATGAGCGACCTTAAAGCAAGTAAGACGGGGGTGCAAGAAAACCTGTTGTTTATCATCTATCGTATGAAAATAATACAGTTTTAGGATCAAAATTAACACTGGGTTTATGATTGAGAAAAGTTCTAGGACCCAATTTAAAATAGCAGTTGTCCCAGCTTGAAATGTAAGCTACTAAGTGTTGTATATAAGACGTGATAATCTGTATTTCGCCGTTGTAAAACAGAGCTACGGCGACGTCTAAAATGTCCGTAAGATTTCAATTATTAATTTCTGCTCATTTTCTTGCATTATTAAATGTGATATTATTAGCTGTTCTCGTTGGACAGTTATTCTGCTTTGTTGAAGTTCTTAATAACGGTAGTTCTTTATATTATTAATTATTTAAAATTAAAAGTGTAAAATTTAAAGCGGATTCTTGACACATCCCCGTGCTAGATTAAGATTTGCGTTAAGTTCGCTAATGCCGGGGGAGTCTGAATATTCATAATTTAACCGGACATCCTTTATGAATGGCCCCTAAGCTGTTTAACCAGAAAATATTAAATAAACTCAACTACCTCACTTTGACGGCTAAAGTAAACTTTAAAATCAACCAAGGTGGCGCCCAATGACGCGTTGTGACGTCGTGTACAAGCAGGGCGCTATAAAACACAGTGTTTTGTAGCGCACTGGTACAAGCGAAGAATTGCGTGCCTTGTCAATTATTTTTTTAAATAAATTTTTAATTAAGTTATTTATTTTTTTTTTAATACAGTACTTGTAAATATTTTAATTTTCAGTGGCCTGTCTAAACCGCATGATTAGATTATTGCATTGTGCAGTTATAGTATCAATATTCTTTACATTGTGTAGGCTTGTTATGGAACACTTGTTGTCCCAAAACTTGCAAAAGGTGTTAGAATGAATGGTGAAAGTATACTAAAATTCTCAGGCCAAGGAGTGTGTAAATACGATGTTTGGAACCCCTTGAAGAGGAAGATGATAAAGATCAGGAACTTTTACAGCCAGTTTTTTTCTAATGACGATACCTTGGAAAGCCAAATGACTGCCTATATTTCATCTTCTCCCGATGAAGTGACACAGCCTGCTTCAACGTCCCAAATTGTTACATACAGCATTTCTGAGGAATTGCCTGTGTTTAATAATGAAGAGGAAATACCTGCATTTGAAGATGAAGAAATATCAGCAACATATTTGAAAGAACAATTCATTGCTAGTATTAGGGAATATATGCTTCAGATTTTTTCTGATCCATCAATATTAAATGCTAGTTTGCATGCAGTAATTATTAATCAACTTGGTCATCAGGAAGTTGGAGAAGGCACAGGAGTCTTGAGGGAAATGTTTTCTTTGTTTTGGAAAGAGTTCTATGAGTCGTATATGTTGGGTGAGAGTGAGAGAGTTCCCTATATAAGGCACGATTTTAACAGGGCAAAATGGAAAGCTGTTGGGAGAATACTTGTGAAAGGTTACAGTGAGTGTCTTTATTTTCCCTATCGGTTAAGCAAAGTTTTTCTTATTGCATGTCTTTTTGGCGAAAGTAATGTGACCAGCCAAATGCTGCTGGATTCATTTAAGCATTACTTGTCTCATTCTGAAGCTAGTATAGCAGATGCATGTTTGAATAATAGCATTCAATGTGAAGATGATGAGTTACTTGAGTTTTTGTCAGCATTCGATTGCAAGCGAAGAATTACAGAAAATAGTCTTATAGACATAGTAACGTGGTTGCCCATAAAGAAATAATACAGAAACCCCAGTATGTAGCTGATTGTTGGGGATTGATTGTATCTGACCTTAATTAAAAAGCATTTTCCAGATGTTTGCTCAGTTAACAGATTATATGAGTCCATTGTGCCAACTAATGCTAAAGTTATTTCCATGCTTCAAGCAAGTCCAGTAGCCCCAGCCGAGGGGGAAACCTTAGCCCACATGAAGAGGTTTATTAGAGGTTTAGATGAGGGAAAGCTTGCTACATTCTTAAGATTTACTACTGCGTCTGATATGCTTCTCACTGATACTTTGAAAATAGTTTTTACCAGTTACGAGGGCCTTCAGAGAAGACCAGTTGCTCATACATGTGGCTTTACCCTTGAAGTACCAAGCACATATTCAAACTTTTGTGAGTTAAGAGAGGAGTTTATGGGAATTTTGAGTGCAGATGGGTGGGAAATGAATATAGTTTAAAGAACTTGTAAAGCCAGCTTGTAGTTTTTGTCCATTTAGAAAGTTAGCTGCTATGCCGTTGAGTTTGTACTTTATAATCACAGCTTAATATTTGTGCAATTGTTGTACTTCTGTAGTTATTTGACGTAGCTCTTTTTTAAGAATTAAGGACAAAAAAACATGCAGATATGTTAACGTTAACGTACTTAAAAGAAACATTTAGCTTAAAAGGTTAAGTTTTTACATTAATTTTATACATGTACAATAATGTAAGCTGTTGTGTTGATAATAAAGTTCATGAGGTTTTGTTTTCTCCATTTCTCCATGATCATTCCTTTGATTGGCAGGGCAATTCTAACTCTGTGTGTTCTTTTAATGCATACGCAGCCAAATTTCACTCGGTTTGTATGGTTGCAATGTATAAAGAGCACTTAAAATTACCGAATAACTTCTTATGTAAACTTTGTTGAGATACTTCCGATCGAGTGTGATACGCAAACATCGTACTTGTGACTTCACTCTGCAAAATGAATTTTAGAAAAGTGTGAAGAGATCTTATACAAAGTCAAAACCTTAAAATTGCCCAAGTATATATACTGTAAGTCTGTGTGAATACATCACTATAGTCATTAATCTTTCTATTTGTCTGTAGAAAAAAATTGTCAAGTTAAAGTGATGCTGTTTTAAAACGTCT